GGCAAATTCAGGCGTAGACGTATTCGGATTGCCCTTGTACAAGCTGATGACCTGTAGTTTTGCATACTTGCCATCAGCCGTTTTAATAGCGATGGTCAGGCCTGGCTTTGGCAGGATTGCATGGAGCGGAGCTGTGGTGCCACCGGTATAAGTGCTCCATTTCAAGTAGTCGCCCGTAGCCTCATTGCCCGCCAGGTAACCACTTGCCGGAGCCTCTTTAAGTTCTGTAAATCCGGTTTCAATAAGCTGTGCACCGGCAGTTCCTGTTCCTTCCGTGCCACTATTGACGGCAATAGAGATCACCCTGTCTTTTCCATAAAAAGAAACATCCCAGTTGGTGGCAGTGATCGCACTTGCGGGTACCTGCGCTCCGGTAGTCAGGTTATAATAAACCTTGCTGTCTGCTTCCAGGCTGGTCACTGTTTTAATCTCTGCTGAGGTATTGGTGACAACGGGTTGCGGATCGTCTTTCTTATTACAGCTGGTTGTTGAGAGAAGGGTACCGGCCATCAAGGCAATCGTGGCGAAAAGGAGCGTTTGTTTTTTCATGATTCTGTGTAAATAAAAAGGTGATGTTGATTAATGGTTAATGGTTGTTCCTGGTTCGTTTCTGTATTTGCAGTGCTGCGCCTATATACCAGTTTAAAGCAGGAGTGGTAGGGTCAAAAGGAGTGTGCACCGAGAAGATATTATTCACGCCGCCTTCAAGGGTCAGGTGCTCAAAGAACTTACGGGCCGAGATATTCCAAAGTGTATAACCGCTGGCATATTCCCGGTCATCATCCAGCACTGCATTGCCATTTACATCCAGGCCGCTGCCAAAGCGGCTCCGGAAAATGCCTCGTAACGATATATCAAAATCATATTGTCTGTTATCATAAGTCAGCTTGATATTGCCGGTGTGTTTAGACCGGTTGTACAGGCCGCCATAGCTGCTTTTATTGACCTTATAATCCAGGTTGGTAGCGGCGTCCCTGTAGTAGAGGTTTCCTGCTTTTACCTTATTCCATACATCTGCATCCTTGGCATCCAGGTATTGATAACCGGCACTTACTTCCAGGTTCCAGGGCAGC